TCATTTCTTCAAATTGTATGTAATTGTACATCTTTGTACGTTTCGAATTGCGTTCGAATTGAAAATTGTTGACACGTCGAGTTATTCTAATTTCGATCTCTTTAACGGATAGATCTTTAACGATCTATGCGGATGTTCGGTTCGAAAAAGTTACGAGGGCAGCTCGTTTTATCGAAACGATCACGATGTTCCCTTTTTCGAAGACTAAGCACGTGCGTTGAACTTTAATAACTTTCTTGTGGGCGCGAACTTTCTTGTTGGACGGTTGCAGCATCGGGATAGCGAAACCACGCAAATACATTTTCCTCCGCCCGCCCTTCCTACCTATCGCCGATCTTGTAATCACTTATAAAACGATCCGCCCTTTTCCTTTGCCTTTTTTCATCCCGAGAGCTGAGTTTACCCTCGTGCATCAAGCCAACAATCCGTGAACACGCGATCGTCGAAGATCGATAAATGGATCTCTCGAGGCCTACGCGAATCTCCTCCGTTCGTCGTGTATTTATCCAAGATCGAATCGAGTAGTAGTAAATCTTGAGTTAAAAAAAAAAAAGAACGCGTATTTTTCCCTTCGAGACAATGTAAATCCTCCGTAAAGGTAGAATATATCTACGGTATTGAATAGAGCGTAAAAATCTTGCTGGAATCGGAACAATAACAAGAAAGTTTTATGCAACGTTTCTTGCTTCAACGGATCGTCTACAACGAGGAAGAAAGCTTAAAATGCAGCTTCTTAATGCACCCAGCCTCCTTTCTACGCTTCTTTCCTCCTTCATCATCTTCCCAAACCAACCGACCTACCCANNNNTTACCTCTTACCTCCAAAAACACTCGCCTAATCTCGACGAAATTAAAACACACCGCAACATATTCTCCTTCCATCCGTTCTTCTTCGCTCGTTGTCCGTGTAATCCTTCTAGATCTACCGTAACATACCACGTGCGTGTTCTAGCTCCATTCATCAGGCGACCCTTTTCAACGGCCCTTTTCATCATCTCTCGCATAGGGAAGAAGTCGAAGCGAACACACAGACGCCAACCAACTTCTCCTTTCGAATTCTTTTCGTCGTTACCTTTCCCTTCCTATTCCTAATTCCATCTTCTCCTCCTCCCCTCTCATCCTCGTTTCGCTCGTTTCTTCAGTTTAGGTTACTCCCTTGCGCGACCCCAACAGAAGAAGAAGGAGGAGGAGGAGGTGTTCAGGACTCGCGCGCGCCGCCTCGTTCCGCTGCTCCACTTTCCAGTCCACGAGATTTCCAGCCTCGGAACGAAGAATGCATCGCTATATTGGATCGCCGCGGATCCAGCGTCGCGAATGGTTTCGGCCGACTGAATTAACGCCGCTTCTATTTTTTTGCGATGAGTAACGGTGAAACGCAAATATTTGCCAAGAGTACACACGCAACAAAAACGTCCCTCGTGGCCCGGCTGATTAATTGGCATGCCGAATAAAGCGTGTCCGAGCCCGTTTCGCGCTCACCACCGATGAATTAACCACTTCTCGTGTCGGTTAAATGCACTTTGAATTCTCCTCTTATGGTATTTCGAGTAATAACATCGATTTCGTATTTGTTTTCGTGAAAAACTCATAAATATACGTCGAATGATCGTCAAATACGTAATACTTGACCTGCGTGTAAGCGTTTCCAATGGAAAGAGGCAGGAAGTTCTAAGCTGGAGTCGTTGTAACTTGGGATACAAGCTCTTAATCGAAGTGTTAAGTTCACTCGTAGAGTGACGCCAATTTTATTCGTTGCAACAAGTTGAGCTGTCGTAATGGCTCGATTCGGTGTTGTTAGTTTAATAAGCAAAAACAGTCTCGTCGAGTATACAATGGTTGCGCGACGACGTTATCCTGCATAATAGTTCGGTTGGTATCGGGCCAATTGCATTGGCCTACTCGCAGCTCTGCCTTCCCGAGTTCGAGTACAATTTAATTTGCAAGCGAAGAGCGCCTCAGCGTTCAAGTGGCACCGGAGTTCTCGGTTTCACCTGGACGACTCCCCCGGTTCCGCTCTATTCCGGATTTAATGCTCGAGACGAAATCAATACGTAGAGATATCTCTCGTCTACCGCGAGTGCCGCTGTAGAGTCACTGCTCGCATCCACACCCGATGCTCCTCTTTTTCTTTCATTTTTTCTCTTTTTTTTTTTTCTTTTTATTTTCCCTCGTTCTCGTCTCGTCTCCCGACGAGGGACCACCACGNGTCAGCAGGCCGGAAAGTATGTCAATAAAGAGAAAAAGGAGGAACGAAAAAGAAACGAGGGAACACGCTGCAGGAAATCCAATTTTTAACCCACTCAGACATGCAAAGATAGCCGCGTCGAATCAATCAAACGTGTTTCGAATCGATTTCGGAACCTGTCCGATATATAAAATCAAGGTTCCTCCATTTTTTATTTTCTAAATAACGTTTCTTTCCTATTCGATTCGATTATATCGTTGAAAATCTTTCAACGTTCCTGTTTCCATAAAGAAAAAAAAAAA